CCCGTAATGGGAGGAAAAAACAAAGACAAAACAAAAAACCCCCCACAAAAATGTCATCAGGACTTTACGCCAGTGTAATGCAGACCGTGTACTGTTTGGGAAAGAAACCAGCGTCGAGGGGTGGTGTGGCAGGAGACACACCTCAGTACACAATATTTGCATTGATTTCTTAATGGGGAGAAATTCGCCCCCCGAAGTTATGCCGTTTGCCTTCGGAAGGCATGGGTCAGCCACTCCATCGATGGCGTGCAGATACGTGTGTTGCTTCTCCAAAAGAAGCCTAAAATTAAATTCTGCAAATCACCATCATCCTCTCAAGGTCGATTTCTCAAAGGCCCTCCGAGGACAAATCTGGTTTGTTTTTGACAACGTTTCGGGGGATCCTGACCTGGCTCGTATCCCGCATCTGGTTGTAGCTGCCGGCGCAGATCATGCCGTCCTCCAGGTAAGGGTAGAAGGCCTTGCATTTCCTTCGGTTATAGATGGTGACGTTGGCCTCGAACAGCGTGGAGGTGGTCTCGTCTTTATCAATCAGGCCCCATCCGGCAATGCTGCAGGGAGTGCCCTCCGGGAGGTCGCTGCGGGATTTGGGCAACGGCATGATCTGGACATCTTTGTTGAGGGATGCCTCAAAGTCCAGCTGCAAAGAAGGAAGGAAGGAAGGAAGGAGAGATGCTGTTGCAAAGTTTTGAATTTCTGGTTAAATTCCTCTCGCTGCCCAATAGAAGTACAGGAATTCACACAGCAGAATCAGCTTCAAGTTCCCCAAACTAGCCCACCCCTGTCTGATTAACTGGCACTTACGGTCTCAGTAACTCTCTCTGAGACATGAGTAAGAGAAAGAATAAAAGTTTAATTATACTTACAGTTGAACGGATCAAACAGCCAACTGACAAACCTGACTGCTTTCAACAAGCTGACTTCAAAAGACTCTAGAGAAGGAAACAGCTCAAAAAGCGGAGAGGTGCGATAGTCCTACTAGCCGATCTATCGAGGGAGTCTCCGAAAAACACCAGCAGCTATGTCAGCCAATTTCATCAAATACTTTTTTTTTTGGGGGGGAGGTTTCTGACTCAACCGGGAGCAGGGCTTAGCCGTGGGCTTCATCTGGTTCCCATAAAGGTCTCTGTGGCCATGGCCACATGCAGCAGAGAGGGGAAAGCACAAGGCTCAATTAGAACACGCTACCTTCAAGAGGCAAGAATGATGAAGCTGAGGCTGTCCTCCTTTCGACACCCTGTGACAAGGCAGGGTTCTCTGGAAAAGACCATTATGCTTTCTATCCCGCCTAGAGTGGTCTAATATGACCAGATAGGGCAAGAGGGAAAGAGGAAGACCTAATGCGAGATGGACGGACTCTCTAAAGGAAACCACGACTGGTTTTGCAAGAGCTGAGCAGGGCGGTTGAAAATGGGACATTTTGGAGAGTGCTCCTTCATAGGGTCGCCAGAGGTCCACAGAAGACTCGACGGCACAGCACAGCAACAAACCTTCAGGAGAAGCATGTCGTTCGCATAGGTGTTTTCATCGTACCCCGGATGCATATGGTAGGACTTCACGCCAATCACTTGTTGAGACTTCTCCATGTGATAGACGTTGTGCGCACCCAAAACCACAGTGAACTCCCTGCAAACAGAGTGGGGGAGGGGTCATGCCAGGCAGCCGTCGTGGTCTGATCGCAAACCCACCGCTAGCTGCGTTCCCGTCATCTTTCCAGGAGCATCGTGAGGGGTGATGCAATAGTGGGGGCTTCTGTGATTCCCTTTCAACTCTTTAGTCTTCCTGAGCCGCCTGAATATTTATCCCAGGAGAGGCTTAGCACTCGGTAACTCCGTCAAAGTTCAAACCAAAACCCGGAATGGATTCAGGGTGTCTCCCAAATTGGAAGTCACTGGTCACAGCCACACTGGAGGGAAAGCAGCACATTTTTCCCACTCCAAAATTACCTCGAGGGCCAAAATTTCAGAATTCTGGACAGCATGAGTGCATTCTGGTTGACCTACAAGCGTCTCATTTCCCATGGGGTTTTGGAACAAACCCCATACTTCTTCGGCTGTAACCTCGTTGCTAAACGAAGCATTCTTCCCACCCAAGCTTTGCAAAGGTCTCAGGCTACAGATCCCATCATCTCCTCCCAGGGTGCAACCTGGAAATGATGACAGAGGGCTGTAAGTAAGAGAAAGCTGGTTTCAACCAGCAGCCTGCTCCTAGAATCTATGGCAATGGCAAAGAATATACAGTCTTCCAGTTCACATTGGGATGACAACTCCCATCTGCCTGCAGCCACTTGGCCATGCTTGTCTGGGAATCCAATCATTCCCTCGAGAGTCTACTCCCGACCTATACATTCATTAGCCAAAGTCCTGCTGCGCACAGTACACCTCCAGGAGAGTGGTGATGTCACCAGCTGGGGTGGATTTTTGGTGACGAAAGACTTCCTCCTTCTGTCCTGTGGATTGTCCAACTCATGAGGCACCTGGAAGTCTTCGGAACCCTGGGACAGAAAGAGGAAGTCTTTTATTCTGGAAAATCTGTCCCTACTGGTCAATGCCAACTGGCAGCAGAGAGTTTTGGCATGTAAAGATGACCTCCTCCAGTCTGGTGGTTTCCACACAAACAAATTATTCACCAGTCAGGCAAGCTGGGGTAACAGAACAAAGAATGCTATAATTACCAGAAAATTATCTCCACCAGTGACATCACTTGTGGTCTGCAGGTAGAACTTACGTAGCAAGATTGTGGCTCTCACCTGTTCACAGGTGACGCTGGCCTTGCCTGTACCTTAGAAACAAACCCAATGATCTTAAGTCGGGGACTGACATGTGCAACTTACATCATGCAGTGTGCCGCAGTCATGACCCACTGCGGAGCTATCAGGGTTCCTCCACACACGTAACCTTCGTCTGACTTCAGGATGGCCATATAGGGTCGGGAATGTGGCTTGGCTTCATGGCCCCCGATAATGTGGCTTCGCAGGAGATCTGCAAGGATCATAAGCAGAGGATCAGCTGTCGGTGTTTCTGGAGAGCCTTGAAAAGTGAATTTTGTAGATTGCATGTCCCGGGGTCTTCTCCCTTCAAACCTCCCAGGAAATCCCAAAAATCTATTTTCTAAGTTTTCTGCTACTGGTGCGTCTCAAAGCTTGGGTGTCATTGATGCCCAAAAAAGCAAAACCAAAGCAAGAGACAGTGAAATAAAAGTAGTATTCATTATTATCAGAGTTTAATTGCGTTTTAAATGTGTGATTTATGTTGCAAATTATTGGGTTTTTTAAAAGCTCGTTTTAGCATTGTTAGCCACCCTGAGACCCCTTTCCCGTGGGGAATAATAAAAATAAAATAAAATGTCTAGGTCCCTACCTCTAGGAGCTTACAAATAAGTCTCACCCATAAGGAATCTCATCTCCCCCAAATTAAAAACAAGAATAATTGCGTACCATCAAGTCAACTCTGACTTATGGACACCCTTTAAAGTCTGAGGGAGGTCCATATCATCTCCATATTGCTGGAAAAGGAGCACCTTTGCTTTAAATGGTTGACAAAAGCACCCTAACTCTTGGAAGTCGTTTAGATGAACTAACTTCAACTATTCAGAAAAAAATGAGAAAAGGCTATGTGATCCTTACATAACCCAGATATGAGAGGACAGACGGATGTTTTTATTAAGTAAATGTGCGGTCAAGTCAATTCTGAATTATGGCTCCCTTTTTCAGGGTTTTCTAGGTAGGGTAATGTCTGACAGTGGAGGATTTGAACCCCCAACCTCTTGCTCCACAGCCAGGGACCTAACTCACTGAGCTATCCAGCCAGCCTGTTCCAAAATTTGCAGACAAGGGGTAGGGGGCAGAAATAACCTAAACTCTCTCGGGTGCAATCGCCATTACACAAACTTCAGCACCTCTGATGGGAACAGCACTGTGCCAGAGTAGCCGAGGCAAATGGTCTCTGCCCCGACGTGCTTACAGTTACAGGGTCCCAGGGAAGGTAGCGGCTGGCTTCCTCCCCGCGGCACACCATTAATGCGCAGGAACACGCCAGATAAGGTGTGTAGACACGGTGAAACCACAGTAAATCCCTGGACAAAAAGTCCATTCTCCAGTACGACTGCTCGCGAATGGCCATTGAATAATCTTGGTATTTTAAAAAAGTTTCAAGCTTCATGGTCGTTGTATTTTTAATTATGATGATGATGATTAATGTTTTTATAATTTTGATTGATTGTGCCTGATGTTTTTGAATCCCCATCCTCATCCACGTTATCATCCTCATCCTCATCTTAGAACTGTAATGCTGGAAAGGGACCCCTATAGATCATCCAGTCCAGCCCCTGTCCAGGAGGCACAAGCGGGGGATTCGAACTCCCAACCTTGGGCTCCACAGCCAGAGACTGAAACCCCAGTGAGCTATCTTATCATTCCACCGGTACATTCTACAGATGAACAATCTCGCTCAGCAGCCGGAGACTGAAACCCCAGTGAGCTATCTTATTATTCCACCAGTACATTCTACAGATGAACAATCTCGCTCACTTTAAAAATCCCGCCCCATCATTCTATACCTCTATTCTCCGGCACCCTATATCGCTCTCTTTACATGTTGCTTTTAATTAGCTTTCTCCAATTAATCCTTAAGTAAAAGCGTTTTGTTGGTCTTCCTTGAATCTGCAAATGCAAATTCCTGCTGCAGCCCAAAGATTCGGGATTCTTTCTAAATCTGTCCTGAGGGGTTGCTGGGCCCAAAGATTCGAAATGGCCAGCCCTGCCCTTTCTTGGGGCATGAGTGAGTGGACCTGTCCTTTTTCTTCTCCCCTGCAACCTCAGAAATACAAATAAATGCCCTTTTGCAGCCCCCGCCCCAAAAAGTCTGAGCTCACGAAATTTTGCTTTGTTCTCTTTTTCCCGCCCTTTTCCTTCCCTTCCCCGTTTGTGTATTGTTCCTTTTCAACAGTGCAAGTCACCCGGAGTCCTCTGGCGCAGAGAGGAGGACTATGAAAACAGTTAAATACCAAAACGACCAAATAATAAGGGGTGTGTTTGTTTTAAAATAGTCTAACCCGCCTTACCAGGTTGGATCCACGGGAAGGAGAGCATCAGGCAGAGCAGGCGAGCCAAAGGGCGACCCATCTCGAAACTGGTTCCTCCGGGGGAGAAAATGAGCACCAAGGATCTCCCTTCTGGTGGTTTTTATAACCCGGTTCCGCTCGGCACATCCTTCTGCGATGTGGGAAGCCACAAGCATCTGGCTACCACGTGAGACCACCGGACGGTGGCCGATCTTCGCTTCTCACTGTCTTTTCTGAGCAATCGGGTGGAAAATCTCTCCCTCGAACGAACCATCAGACGGAAACATGAATTTGGCTGGATAGTCATCTTTCGTTTGGCTTGGGCTGCAAATCCCCCGCGGGGTGCGTGTCCGGATTTGACCGCGAAGGGGGTGGGAATAGAGCAGAACCTGAGACCAATCTTGACCTCCTATTCAAACAGTCCCGCTTGGTGAGTGGGATCCCCGGTGCGGCACAGCGGGGAGAGCAACGGACTAGAACTCCAAAGGCCTGGGTTCGAATCCCCACGGAGCCATAGAAACTCCCTAGAACCAGTAAAGCCACTCCTTAGATATCTCACCTGGAGAGCAATATTAGGGTGGCTCTAAGGAGCTTCCGATTTGACAGCGCAGAACCAGGTTGGTTTCATGAGATTTATATAAACCTTGATTTACTATTGATCTGTCTGGATTTATTTGGTAATATCCATTCGTTTCCAGGCCAGGTCAGATCATTCCTCTGTACCGTCAAAGTGTTATGTTTTCTGACCCATAAATGTGAGTCTCACATTTAAAAAAAAAAGTGTTCTAATCTAAGCTGAGTTATTTATCCATCTCGCCAGTTAGATGGTCCATGTTTTTCTCTGGCAAAGACGGTATTTCTACCTTGAATTGCCACCTGGTTCCTAAAAGCAGACAAAGGAAAACCTCGGTGAATCACAGTCACTGGGCCAGCTCTGGCTGAAACCTTTTTAATCAGGTTCTAGCTTAGTAAGGCCACCCAAGAATTGGGACAAATTAAAAGGGCCTGGGATGACTGGAAAAGTTAAAAAATATGGCCCTCTGGATCTTAAAAGCCCCTTCTGCAGTTGCCTGTCGGTTGCTAAAAATATTTGAAGGGAAAAGTCTGTGTCTGCCCAAAGAGAGGAGAGGACTGGCCCAGATTCCAGTGGCAGGGAGTTCCATAGCCTCAAAGACCCTTTATTTTGTCCTACGTTGCCTTGGGAATGCAGCTTGCTTCTGCTGTTGTTACCATAAAAGAAAGGAAAGGAAACACATGACAAGCGGTTTCGGTGAAATTGTGGTTATGGAGCTCAGAAATCTCAAATGGAGTCCACCTATTCCTTCCCTCAGGATCTTGGTACGCAAAAGTGGGATTCGGTTTTGTGCTGGAAGGGGGTCAGTTTGGATGACCTCAGGTCTCCCAAAACTCCGACAAGCCTGTGATCTCATGCCTACGGCCCTGGTCGTCCTCAACCCCCAACGCCGTATCTCTGGGGAGAAAAGGGGGTGGCCTTTGAAGGGGGTGCCCATCACAGCTGGGCGAAACAGATAACGAGGATGGCATTTCTTTGTTCTCAGAGACAATATCTTCACCCAGATCAGGCGGAAGATGGGTCCACTGGCTGTTGGCTCTTATCAGCCTCTATTTTTGCTTTTCCGCACCAGACGCTGGACCGCCAACGGTCGCCAGAAACGGCCGATTGACCGACCCTTCAGGTCTGTTTTGAGGATGGAGGTGGGAAGGAGATGCTTATGGGAGAGGAACCGAGTGCTGGGTCAAGGAAGGTGGTGTTGCTTAATGGTTAGAGCTTTGGGGCCAGGAGGTGAGAAATCCAGGTCCAAATAATCATTGAGTCAATCCACTTCTCTGTATCCATTCTGACTTATGGCGACTCTTCCCAGGATTTTCTAGGTAGAGAAGACTCAGAAATGGGTTTTCCCTTTCCTTTTTCTAGGACTGCACAGCTTGCCCAAAGCTACCCAGGCTGGCTCTTCTGGGATGCACAGTGAGGGATTTGAACTCTGAACCTCTGGCTCTGAAGCCAGAGACCTAAATCACAGAGCTAGCCGGTCAACAAGATATAACTAAGCCCTTATACTAAGGCTTGCTATCATAGTATCGTTCCCCCCCCCACACACACACAGTGAAAGCTACAACAGTCTGTCATTTAGCAAAGGATAACTTCTCTCCTTTTGCAATATATTTGTAACTTTTTAGTTATATTTATAGATACAGAAGGGGAAGTGTGGACACTTTAAATGGTGGAATATCACGTGGTTCAACCAGTTTTTGATCTTCCCAATTTCTGCCATGTTGTGGTCACAAGATGATCACTGGGAGAAGAGTGTGTTGCAGAACACATTCGGGTTGTGTGTCTCGCCCAGAGGGATGGGATTTTTTGAACCTCTACAAATCCCGTAATTCCTCATTCTCTGAATTCTAGCTGTCGGAGATGCACTCGACAGGCGTCTCCGTGTGGCTCACCCGGGAGAAAGGCCTCAACAGGAAGGCGAGCCAGGCCTAGCTCTGCCAAACTTCCTGTTCCTGCCCCAGTGCCACCTGGGAGATTCCTTTCAGGGCAGGAAGCTAGGCCGACCTAGCCTTGGGAGGGGGCCTGCTTTATTCCTGAATTAAAAGCTTCCCGCCAGGAAGCTTGACTTCAAACAACCAGAAGTACCATTTCCCTGACCTCCATATGAAGAAGGTGCTTAGCTTGGGCATACCTTTGGCTCTGAGCGCACCCCTGCTCCTGTTTACTCACAAGGAGACCCTGTGGTGCTCAATGGCAGCTTCCACCACCACCACCCCGGGGCGTATGGATAGATTTCCACCTTAGGGACTTCGTTTGNAAGGTGAGGAAGGAAGACGAAGGATGATGATTGACTTGATGCTTGATGATAGACATGCCATTTATTTGTCTGCATAAATCGGAAGGCCCGGGTCACGCTAGCGTGGTTGGCCTGGGTCAACCACACAGGGATCTCTCAGAAGGACAAAGCAGGAGCAAACAGGGAAGCCGAAGCAGGGAATAACTGCTCTTTCTTCATCCGATGGTCTCAAGGAAGACGAAGGATGATGATTGACTTGATGCTTGATGATAGACATGCCATTTATTTGTCTGCATAAATCGGAAGGCCCGGGTCACGCTAGCGTGGTTGGCCTGGGTCAACCACACAGGGATCTCTCAGAAGGACAAAGCAGGAGCAAACAGGGAAGCCGAAGCAGGGAATAACTGCTCTTTCTTCATCCGATGGTCTCCTTGATCCACGGAAGGAAGGCTGCGACACGGGTGTAAATGGAGGGCGGGTTGTGAAAGCCGTAGGAGACGACGCCATGGGCCGCTCCGTTGCAGACGAGGGCGCTTCCGGAATCGCCCTGCAGATCGTTTAGAAAGAACAGGGATGGGAGAAATGCTATGTGCTACCTTTGGCGTGAAAGAAAGCAGCCTTAGAGCAGCCCCCAAAGGATGGACCAGGAAACTACTTCCAAATACTTTCTGGAAAACAACGATAGGTAAAGATTTCTCTTTCCAAGCGGGACATCAGGAGCGCTTTATCCCAAAGGAGATTCCCTCTCCATCCTCCTCACAGACTGCCTTCTGAGTTATTCGTGTCTTTCCAATAACAGCCCGGTGAGGCTTATAATGGGCAGTCCCTCTGTCTCATGTACAGAGTTATCTGCGGAGGCCAAGCTACGGGCTTTCCCAGTTGTAACCCTCCCGTTGCTTCTCCCAGGCTCACCACTCAGGAAAGCAACACTGTTTTAAAGAAGAGAAAGACAAAAATGGTTCAAATCCTGTTTCTTGCAGTTCCAGGCACCCAAGGTGGATGAGACCATTGCTCTGAGCCTATGATCTTTAATTATAGTTTCCCTATTTCCTCCTGCCCCTAAAAGTTTTGAGGTTCCAGATGTGCTTAGACTACAACCCCCAGAAATCCTGGCCAGCACAGTGGAGGGTGGAGGCTTCTGGGAGTTGTAGTCCAAGAACATCTGGGGACCCCAGGTTGGGAATCGCTTGGCTAAAGAGTGGCTGATCTTTCCACAGGGGTGTTGTTGGTGATCACACCCACACCCACACCCCCAAAAAAACAGCCGCACTCACGTTGCTGACATCGCAGAGTTTAGAACGGCTCCCGGCGCAGAGCATCTCATCGGTAAGTTCGGGGAAAAACACGAGGCACTTCCGTCGCCCTGGGAGGGTGACGTTGGTCTCGAAAAGCTTCGGAGAGCCTTGCCACCGGTCATCGAGTCGGCCCCATCCGGCCACGAAACACCGAGTCTCTTTAGGAAGGTCATCCTGTGACCTGGGCAACGGGATAGTCTGGACGTATCGGTTGAGCTTGGCTTCTCGGTCCAGCTTCCAGGAAAGAAGGGAGAATGAGAAATATGTGAGTTTTTTGTGGTTTTTTAAAAAAGACATTCTAAATTTTATTTCTGAAGATTTTAGGTGCGCTTCTCCCTCCTGGTTCTTCTGCTTCCTTCCCCCTTTTAAGTTCTAGTTCTTCATGGCACCAGACCAGCTGAATTTGCTGTCATGCGGCCCACGGCCTAGCTGATTCAGATTTCAGAAGGGGTGAGTCCGCTCTGGGTTTCTGTCCGTACTTTACAGCACAAACGATGCCAGTCACTGCCCCCCCCCCAAAAAAACACCCAGGTTCACCATTGCTTTTCAGCTTGTTCCTAGGGCTATGGCCCATGGCAAAAGGAGGATTGGCATCAACGGGGCGACAAGGTGTTATTATAATCAGAACTGCGGGGCTGGAAGGGATCCTAGAGATCATCCAGTCCCCGGTGGGGAGATTTGAACTCATCACCTCAGGCTCTCCACAGCCAGAGGCTGGAACTGCGGAGCTCTGACCGCAACGGATCCATCTAACTTTATTCACATGGATCGCTCTGCTCTCTGCCAATACCAGTGGAAGGGGTCCAAGCGACAGGCGAAGACTCTGACCCTTGTCTATTTAGTGATCTTTGAAGGGTTGCAACGCACTGTCTTTCGCCATCCTCCCCCCCCCCATCATCATCAGAATGGATTCATGGAACTTTTCTTTGTTTGTTTGCACAGCAAGGAAAAGCGGCGAGCGCCTACAGACTTTCCCCCTTTCAAATGCCGTTCTCTCCGAACGGGCTTGTATGGTGTCATCTCACAACTGCGGTGGAACGAAAAATAAACTGGACACACACACACACTCACTCTCTCTCTCTCCTCCTACCTTTAACAGGAGGATGTCGTTGTAGGGGGTCCCCCCAATGATTTTGTACCCGGGGTGCTGGTGATAGCTTTCCACCCCAAACACCTGCTGGGTTTCCTCCACGGCGTCCAGATCATGCGCTCCCAGGATGATGTTGAGATTGCTTCATAAAGGGGAGAGAAAAGAGGAACGCTGGGCGTCAGGTCCACAACCAGAGTCCTATCATCGGTCACCGTACCAACCTCCGCACCCGGATCCCGGCGGATTTGGGCCGCCAGGTGGGCGTTCAGCCTGGTGAGGGATCGGATGGGAGACACCACCACCCCCCACACAGAACGGGAAGGAACGTCCCTGGAGCTCTGGTGTGCCATTCCTGGCAGCCAGAGTTAAGGATCAGACTCCCGATCCAGAATGAAATCTACAAATGGCCCCAGGTAGTATTCTGGGAGGTGCGCCTCAAAAACACAAGTCTATGGACCAGGTGTAGTTACCTGAACCGCTGCCCTCTTCAGCCTGTTCAAAAACACGGAAGCCACCTCGGTGCTACCTGGATGTCATCAATCTCCCTGGGAAGTGTAGTTTTCACCACTGGTTAGGCTCTCTAGAGCAGTGGTTCTTAACCTTTGTTACTCGGATGCTTTTGAACTGCAACTCCCAGAAACCCCAGTCAGGACAGCTGGTGGTGAAGACTTCTGGGAGTTGCAGTCCAAAACTCCTGAGTAACCCAAGGTTAAGAACCAGTGCTCTAGAGGACACCTTCCAAAGAACTAGGCTTCCCGGGAAGACCTTTCCATCCTAGGTAGCTCTCACACAGCTTCCTTGCTTTGGAAAGACAAAAAAGTCGAAGAAGGGGACCAATTGGAGGTCCTTCGAGGTGGCCTGTAGACGTGAGTTTCTCAGAATTACGTCTGGAGTCCGATTAAGAAACACATGTATAAATAAATCACAGTTAAGGATCAGACTCCTGATCTAGAATGATCTCCAGAGACTGTCCCAGGTCGTATTCTGGGGATGCCCTCTAAATCTGAGGCCCCGGGGGCCTCATCCTAGCCACGGCTCGGTGACTTCCCTGCCTTTCTAAGTCTCAGATTCCTCCAGGATAAACAGCATCCTCTCGAACGCAGATCTTCGGACCCCCGCTTCCCGCCGCCCCTCCCGGCTGATTGGGACTCACCCATTGCAGTGGGCGGCCGTCAGCACCCACTGAGGGGCGACGAGGAACCCCCCGCAGTTGAAACGCCCACCGTTCTTCAGAACTGCTGCATAGGGCCGGGAGTGGGGCCTGGCTTCGTGGCCACCGACGATCCCGTGGCGCAGGGTGCCTGCAAGAGAGAGAGAGAGAAGCCCGGGGTGGGATTTTGAAGGCTCTCCCTCTCCTCTGGGTATAAAAAAGGACAACTTCTCCCATTCCCTGAGATCCCAGAAGAAGGGAAAAAAAAACGAGGAGGAAGGAGCAGGCAGGGCCTTGTCCTGCTACAGAAGCGGGCCAAACGAGGAGGGTCGGGAGCAGGGCAGGAATGGCCGACTGGTCTGCGGAAAGATGGCAACGACTAACAACAACAACAACAACAGCCGCACAGGATTCAAAGCGATAGCAGAACACACCAGACATAGTAGTGACAGAACAAAGAAATGTATGGATCATGGATGTTGCCATTCCGGGGGATGCTCGAGTTGAAAATAAAAAATTAGGAAAACCATCAAAGGACGGATACCTGGCCATCGAAACATCTCGCTGGTGGATGAAACCCACTTCAGGGGCCCCGTTGTCATTGGGGCTTTGGGAACAACCTCCAGAAATTTCACACAGTGCTATAAGCAGCTGCAGATCTCAGAAATCACACCCTCAGGGCTATGAGAAACGGCAATACGAGGAACAGCCGGGCTCCTGCGCCGATATTGAACAGGTACTTAGGTTTTTAGTAAAAACTCATTTCTGTTATGTAGTTCCAGTCAATGTTTTAATAATTTTGATTGACTGCGCCTGGCAGTGTGGAAGGATGATGATGATGATGATGATGATGATGATGATGATGATGATGATGATGATGATGATGATGATGATGATAGAATGGCAGAGCTGGAAGGGACCCCCAAGTCCAGTCCCTGTCAAGGTGGCCCAATCAGGGAGCCCAAGGTTGGGAGTTCAAATCCCCCACCAGGCCTCCTTGACAGGAGCTGGACTGGATGATCTTTAGGGGTCCCTTCCAGCTTTGCCATTCTGAGAATGTCTAACAAAGAATCCACTAAGCAGTGGTCTCAAACCTTGGGCCTCCAGATGTTCTTGGAATACAACTCCCAGAAGCCCTCACCACCACCTCTGCTGGCCAGGATTTCTGGGAGTTGAAGTCCAAGAACATCTGGAGGCTCAATGTTGGAGACCACTGCACTAAGGAATTTAAGCATAAAAACGAAACTTTAGAAAGGCAGAAGGCCGGCATCCCAGGACTCAAGTCCTGATTTAACAAAAGTCTGTTCCTCGACCGGGAAGGATGAAACCGAGGGGGGGGGTGAATCTCGGCGACAGGTTCGCTCCCCTGGCTTGGCGCCATCTTCCCTCTGGTTGGTCCCCTTTTCCTGGCTTTGCTTTCAGGCGTGGAGGCACCTTTGCCCATCATCATTCCCTGCCTCTCTCATCATCCTGCCACCTTCTCTTTGCTTTCAGGGTTTTTTTCCCTTGTCAAACAGAGCCACCTGCTGGGAAAAGTTCAGTTGCACAGGAAGCACCACCTCTGATGTCTTAGTTCTGGTTACGGATTGTCTACAAGCACTGTCCAACTCCTTGATCCACTGGCTCCCCATAAATTCGGCACTTTTAAAGTTTGGAGCAAAACACAGAGTGGATGCACCACCCTTGCTGAGAATGAGAGGCTCCCTTCCCATGTCTCCAGGGTTCAGTCTTCAGCCACTACTACTATATATATATATTATTTATAACCATGAGGACTAGGATATAAAGTGTATTCTCAGAAAATGCTGTTTTGTAGCTCAGCAGAAATATCCTTGTTTTGCACAGAAAAAGGCTTCCCATTTAAGGCCCATCATCTGCACTCAAAGCGATGGGGGAAAAACTCATCTAAAAACCAACAAGGATTTTGCAAAGCAGTGCAAATGACTGGGTGAGAATAAGTCAGTTTCCAATGCAGTGAGAACTAGAACCTTGATTTAAATTTGGACTCTAGTTCCCATCAGCCATAGACACCTGGGGCTCTATAATGCCCCCCCACTCCCATCCTTCATTAATTAACATCAGGAACACCCCCAGATCAAGATATTTCATCAAGCACTCTTGGCTGGGGACTATAATTCCCAGAACCACCCCCTCCCCAGCTAGCAGGAGCAAGGAGGATTGTGGGTTTTGTAGTCCAGAAATGAACTTTCTCCAAGCTCTGTCCCTTTTGCAGCCACGAGTCTCGTACTCACCACCAGAACCCAGGTGAACCATCAGGAGAGCCAAGAAGGAGATAAACACCCGGGGGTCCATTTCAGCTCCTGCTAAAGTTGATAGTTAAACTCGGAGCGGACTTCTCGGCTCTTTGTGTCTTGTCATATTTTATAGACCAGTCGGGCCAAGGGGTGGTGGCAGCAATTGGAAACGGCCTCCCTGTGACCGACACCAGTCTCCTGCCTCCAGATTCGTTATCTCTTTAAGGGCCCCGATAAACAATGTATTAACTCATTTCTTGGAAGACGTGAAAAAGACAAATTGATCTCGAACCCATGAAGTGGCGGTGGTGGTGACTGATGAGGGATGAGGAAGACAGAAGCAGCTCAGAACAGCAGAGTTGGAAGTAACTAGTTCCAAGGAGCCGGTAATTAATTACTTTGGGGGCAAGGAGTGATGTAACTAGCCGTTTTGCCCTTTAGGGCACTCATTGTATGCCAGACATTGGAAGCGTCTTGACAGCACCTAACAAAAGGATAGATCCTCCGCATCTAGGAGCAGTCTATCTCAGGCCAACCACCTGGAGAAGGAAAAACGGAAGGGGTGGTTGCTTTGACACCCCGCATGTGGCCTTCCTCCAAACATTTGCAAGGTCCCTCCGCAGAACAGGAGGCTGGATTTTAGGCAGTGCCTGATCGAGGTCCGATCACATGGAGGAGGATGTGGGTTTTCGGGGCAAAGCGATGTGTTTACCCCCAAATGGCTTTTTTTTGGCGGGGGGGAAATTGTCAAGGTTTGAAATATCTACCCGAACATAAACAAAACTGCTGAGAAGTCCTCATGTGACTGTAAGAAACCACAGCCAACAACGGCCGGAGCGTCACAAGATTATCTGCCACCGCTTGGGTTCCGAGCCGTGATAATCAATCGGAAGAATATTTTCAGAAAGCCAGCGAGCAGGGTCAGGATGGCGAAAGTCATCGGGGGGGTTAGAGGATGGGGGTCCTAGGCTGGTGTGTTGATGCGCGGCAAGACCGTGTGATGTCATGGTTAGGGCTGAGTTCACATCTTCAGCGCTCTCTCCCTTTAACCTACCTCGCAGGATGGCTGTGAAAGGGAGAACCCCAGGGACCCCTTTGAGCTGGGTAATGCCTCCCTTCGGTGACTTTCCCAAACATAGGAATGGTGTCGTTGTTTTCGACTGTGTGATCAAGTCGATTCCGGCTCACAGCAACCCTACAAAGGAGGCGCCTCCCAAATGCCCAGTCCTTGACTGCCCGGCTCAGATCTGGCAAATTGAAAAGTTGTGGTTTCCTTTAGGGAGCCTATCCATCACACATTAGGTCTTCCTCTTTCCCTGTTGCTTCCAATTTTTAACTGCCCTGCTCAGATCTGGCAAGCTGAAAAGCCGTGGCTTCCTTTGGGGAGTCCATCCATCTCACATGAGGTCCTCCTCTTCTCTTGCTGCCTTCGAACCAGGGTATGTATGTCTAGGAGTGGAAGTCTCCCCAGATTGGAAGAAGAGGAGGAGGAATGAAGTTGGAGAAGGAGGAAGGCAGCAATCCTCCTCCTCCTGATCATCCCCGTAACAAACCGTTTTTACCCCATTGCCTGTGGCCTTTCCAGCTGTTTGTGTTTTTATTTCTCCTTTCTTACCCTTCCCTTTTTGGGAACCCCAGTGTGGTCCTGGGGGGCTGAAAGGTGGCCTCCCCCAGGTATCCAGAGGCCGCCTTAAGCCTGTAGGTCTGATGATGTCACAAAAAAGCCAGGTAAGTAAAGAAGAGCAGGCAACCCCCCCCCTTCTGTTGCCAGGGTTGTGACTCAGAGAGGACTGGAGGGTGAGAAGCGCATCTTCTCGAACTCGGTCCTCCTCCTCCCAGGGTTTTTAGATCCTTGTGAGTGATCTTGATCCATTTCTCCCTTTGCCCTGCATATCCCAGCATTCACAGTAAGTAACTGTCCCAAACAGAGGATTAAAAACGCGATTTCTTGGTTGTGGTGGTGGGGGATGTGACATTCACTGCTGGAGTCAATGGCCCAGAGCAGAACCGAACCCTAAGAATGACTCCTTTTAAGGAGAAAGGCAGGGTGAAAGTATTTTAAATAGATATAAAGAATAAAGAATAACTTATAAAGAATAATATACCATCATGATATAAATTGGCAAATCGGAATAAGAAAGCCAGACTGCTCTGTTTTCTCTTGTAGCCCTTAAAAAAGAGAAAAGAAACTCTTACCTGTTCCTCTAATTTTGCACTGTTAAATTGCCCCCGTTTAGAGTGACCCCCCCTGAAGGAGCCCTCTCCAAAAGGTCCCGTCCTCCACAGCCCTTCTCCACTCTCGCGAACACAAAAATCGTGGCTTCCTTCAGAGGCCATCTCGCATGTGGGCTTCCTCTTCCCCTGCTGCCCTCTCTACCTTTGGCAGCATTACTGTCTCTTCCAGGGAATCCTGCCTTCTCCTGCGATGCCCAAAGGAGGACAGCTTCCGTTTCGTTGTTTTTGCCT